TGGCTCTTTTGTCACATGTCAAAATGGGAATTCCTGGTCCCTTCTCTTCCGAGGTTATGGCTGCAATTTTTGTCAGTATTTTCAACCATTCAGAGAATGATATGGGGGCACCGTCAGGGGCCAAAGCATTTACTCGAAATATTCGGCCATTGCTTAAGATAATTACATGGGATGGGCAATCACCTTCCTTTTCTGCAACAAGTATTGGTGTTTCCAAATGTAACAAACAAATCTATTAGTTAAATCCAATAAAAGGTATTTCTTATCTTAACATAATGTATTTATGAAGTACTGACATAATATACTTTTAGTGCATTTTACACAACTATTTTTAAGAATATATTTTCAAACCCATCCTGTAAGCACGGAAATTCTTGCAGTCTACATGTATTTTATGTCCCGTGAAAAGATTGAAACAAGAATTGACTAGCAGTTGAATGGATGAGAAATATGGAAAGAAGTTATTAGTAAGAATTCTCACGAAATGAAAACTATAGATGAAAATTTTTAATATTAATTCTGAAATTAAGAATGCATGTTTCTTATCTTCCATTTCTAATATTTCACAATACGCTTACAGTTTGTTACTCACCAGTTTTGAAAAAATTAGCTAGATTATCACAATGTTCTTGAGGAACTCTATTAGTATTAAATAAGAAGCGGAACTGTGACATGCTGAAGTATGTCTTCTTATCAGCACTTGTTGAAGGTAGCAATAGTTCTTTGCGTAAGATGACCCAAAACGCAACAAGACAGTGAAGGTATTGTGCTGCATGCTGCTGGGCATAAAGGAAATGCTTCACCAAAACATTTACAATTCAGAAGTATAGATAAAAATTTTAATTATTGTTCTAATACAGGATGTTTCCAAAAATACCTATGCATTCTAATGCTACTCATTCACTAGTAAAATATCTGTAGTTTCTTCAATTCTACTTGGTTGTATTTTTCAGTAATAACATTTGCATTTACACTCCTTAAAATATTGATTATTGATCATTGAAAGAAGAATGATGTCCAAAAGGAAACAACTATTTTTAAATTATTCATTTCTGTAATTAATAACTTGACTTTTCCTGTTTCCTTGAAATTTGTATTCAAGTTCAACATTTACCAGAAGACATTAAAATTTATTTCTGCCAGTAATAAGAGAAAAAACTCGAAAATGTACAATGGCTTTAAAAGCATTCAACCAGTTCCCTTGTGTGCAGAAAAGTGTCTGCAAACATTTACATCATTATAACACTTTGTATTTATTACATCCCCGTATGTTAATATAATAATAATAATAATAATAATAATAATAATAATAATAATAATAATAATAACAACAACAATTATTATTACTATTATTATTATTACTACTATTACTATCACTATTATATTATAACTATTATAAAAAAAAGAAAAGAAAAAATAATGCAAAATTTTTATGAACATATCAATTAAGGTGAAATTAAAAGCCCATTTTGTTCAAAGATTCTATGTACAAAATTTGTCCCATATGACCAAACCCAAAGGTTGATGCTCACAAGTTAGGAAAAAAAAACCCTAAACAGAAGCAACCCACTGTAGAGGACTCACGTATATTCCCTTGCCATTTCCAAGGGTCCAGCCCAAGTCATTCAGTGGCAGAGCTCCACACATACTATAGAAAGGAATAAGAGGCTCTCTGAGGCTGAGATAAGCTCCTTGCAGCCACCATTTTTCCACCTGTAAAACACACAAGTCCTTCACTAAGAATAAATATTTCTTAGCATATTATATACCGTGTATACAATAGTAATTAATGAAATGAGTGGATAAAAGAGGTATAATTGCACAAGCGATATGTTTAAGAAAGCAAGCGACGCAAGCAAAGAAAGGAGCGAGTTTTCTTATTTACCATAAGTGCCATTATACCCCTTTATCCACATGTTATATTCAATAATTTTTTGTTTCCTTTTAAGAATAATTTAAATTTTGAGAAATTCAAGCACATCTTTACCATTCGAGGCATACATTTAATGACCTCAAATTGCTCAGGTACGAGAAAAAAATACATGTATAAATATTGAGAAATAAAAAAACTGCTAGTCACTTCAGGCATAGTTTTGCCAGCATACTTTTTAGAATGAGTAAACACAACTGGTGTTTATATTTTTTTAACATTTGTAATGCTAAGACCATATGCTTTACATGTAAAACATTTAATTTATTCATGATAAATATTTGATGTTGTTGAATTAGTCAGTTAGCTGATGTTAACTGATGTTTTTTTCTCAACAGTTCTATATGTTTTTGATGGTGTTGAATTAGAATTTGATGTTTGCCACCTCAAACAAATTTAGTTCTGAGAGAAAATTGCAAAAAACTTTTTTCATTTACTTAACTAAACTTTTTTAACTAACTCCATAAAAATTGTTGATGAGAGCTGGAGTGCACTGAAAAACTTACTTTTTGGGCTCCTGGCCAAAGCAAGAGAATAGTTCTTTCCAGCCATTCTATCTCTTCGTGGCACACTCCTTTCACTTTATCGTGCTTGAAAACAACTAATGTGAACAAATAATTGGCATTGCTAAATGATTAACACTCGATACCCATATTATACGAAGGGATGTATTTGTTTGCATGGAGTATCTGCAAATTCTTGAAACATACAACATAAGGGACATGTGCTTTAACTATTTTTGGATTTGAAAGAACACCATCTTCAATTACTTTAATCAATTCTTCAATGGTAGACTGGTAATCCTTGTCACTGTTTTCAAACAAACTAAAAATAGTTTACATCGCTGATTTTATATCATCTCTTCCAGACCTGACTACAGCCTGTGTTCTTGCCTTCTTTGGGAACTGATGCAGTGCTTTCATGCACATCAGATATGCATGTGCATCGGCTGCTAACACGTTATTTACTGCCTCTAAGCAATAAACCATTCGAAGAATGTCAAAAGTAATCGCGAGTCAAACAGTTTCTCTAAAAGCTCTCAGCCAGGTATCTCCGCACCAGCGAGGCCCGCCTCAGCTGGGTCAAGCTCTAAGCTCCAGACTGAACTCCCGGCATATGAGGTAGTGGAGCGCACGTAACTGTAAGTAAGGGGTGAAGACAGGGCAAGGAAGAGAAAGGAAAGATCGCGCGCCGTCCGTGGCCCGTTGAGCCTCGCAGTGGCCGCCGCGGGCTCATGGATGTCGACAAATAAGCTCAGTGGTGCTTCCAAGCGACTTAATGAGAAGGCTGTCTTTCAGTCATTGTCCCGCTGGCGGTGACGAGGAAGCGCCGCAGGGCCGCCATTATCACAAATGTCTCCATTGAAACCATCACTTTGCTAGCAACGTCTCATTTGGTGGAGAAATTGTGTTCGCATTCGCATTCGCATTTTTCAATCTTCTGCCACGTACGGGACGGAGATCGGGAGTCTGGGTTGTTGGCGGAAGGTTTAATTTATCTGTGGATAGAGGGGTTGTTTTATTAAAGTTTTGGATGACGGGGGAGGGAAGGGGCAGGACCGGGATGGGAGGGGAGGGGACTAGGGTGAGGTGAGAGGGAAGAGGTGGATCAAGGATTTTGTCAAGTGCGGGCGGAGTTTTTGTTGACATGTAACCATCGTGTACTTCTGTCATTCGTTGTCGTTTTAATTTGTCGTCGTTTGTTTTTGCCCTCATGAGCTTAGATTGATAGCCTTAGGCAAAAGCGCCACTCCACACAGCTCACCGACCAGCGAGCCACTGAGCGGAAAAGAAGAGATCCGGAGAGGCTGATCACCGCCAGTTGCGGTCGGTTGCGACGGGCGCCGTCCGCCAAATACATCACGAAATGTCTCCCATGAGGAAACCCCGCATCACTATCCAGCAAAGCGCCACTCGCAGCCAGCGCTCCCGACCAGCGCGCCCTGAGCGTAGGGAAGTGAAGGAATCGGAGAGCGGCCTGACTCACCCAGTTTTGCGCGTGGTTGGCAGCTGAGGCGTGCCTCATAATCTACGCATATGTCTCCATTAGCAAACACATCACTATCTTAGCAAAAGCGCCACTTCGCACACAGCTCCCGACCAGGAGCCATCTGAGCGTGGGAAAGGAAGGATCGGAGATAGCGGCTCTCACCAGTTGACGCTGGTTCGCGGCGCCGTCGCAATTATCACGAATGGTCTTCTCACAGAAAGCCACTCACTATCCATTAGCAAAAGCGCACCCTCGCACCAGCTCCGCGACCAAGCGCAGCCCTGAGCGTGGGAGAAGGAAGGAATCGGATAGCCCTGACGTACAGTGTTGCGCTGGCGCGCTCGGCCAATATAACGATGTCTCCTTATAGAAACCAATGCACTACACTAGCAAACCAGCGCCACTCGCACCAGCTCCCGACGCAGCGCGCCCTGAGCGTGGGAAAGGAAGGATCGGAGAGCGCCTGACTCACCCAGTTGCGCTGTTTTGCGCTGGCGCGTCGCCAATATAGAATGTCTCCACAAAAATCACTATCTTAGCAAAACAGACGCACTCACGCACACAGCTCGACCAGGAGCCACTGAGCGTGGGAAGGAAGGTTGGAGAGCGCCTGAACTCACCCAGTTTGGCTGGTTGCGCTGGCGCCGTCGCCATATCACGAATGTCTCAATAGAAACCATCCTATCCCAGAAAGCGCCACTCGCACAGCTCCCGACCAGCGCGCTCTGAGCGTGGGAAAGGAAGGATCGAGAGCGCCTGGACTCACCAGTTGCGCTGGCGCCCGTCGCCAATAATACGAATGTCTCCATAGAAACCATCACTATCCCAGCAAAGAAGCGCCACTCGCACCGAGCTCCCGACAAGCGCGCCTCTGAGCGTGGAAAGAAGGATGGAGAGCGCCTGACCCCAGTTACGCTGGTTGCGCTGGCGCGTCCGCGCAATTACGCAATGTCTCCATCGAAACATCACTATCCTAGCACAAAGCGCCATCGCCCAGCTGCCCGACAGCGCGCACTGAGCGTGGGAAAGCGAAGGATCGAAGAGCGCCTGATCACCCGATTCGCTGGTGGCGCGCGCCGTCCTCCCGGCGCCGGTGCAGGCGCGCGCGCGTCGCTCAGCCTGCAGGCGCGCGCGGCCCGCGGGGCTCCTTCGCAGCTGCGGACCGCCGTCGCCAGCGCGTCGCGGCGCACGCTGTCCATGCCAGGGCGCAGCGTGGGGCGCGACGGCGGCAAGCGGCATCGAAGGCAGCGTCTCGTCGCGCGCGAACGTCGCCTCGGCGCTGGCGTCGCCCGGCGCGCGCACGAACGCCCACGGGCTCCCGCCCCCGCCCCCGCCATCGCCTCGACCTCCGCCCGGCTGCTTCTGCATCCTGGATGCGAGAGAGGGATAAAGTGTTATCGTGGCGGAACCGCTCAAGCTGCACAAGAAGAAAAAGGTTTTAAACTAGGGCATACCTCCTCACATGTTCAAATTTTGCAATTTCCGAAAATTCAGAGTTCATCGACAATGAGAACAGCCCCACTCTTTTAATCGTCTTGTATATCCGTGAAAAAATGGAGCAGTTTTTGAGAAAATGAGTCTTTGAGAAAAGGAATGCATTAATTTCAATTTAATTTACGCGAGAATGACTTTAAAAAAAACTTTGTACACTATCTTTTTTAAGGAGCTGATATATTAGAACAGATTTTAAGGCAAAAATCTATCTTCAACTTTGTAGTTTTGAAATGTTAACGTTTTGCAAATTTCGATAATATAGTGAGTTCTTTAGAAATGAAAATATCACCAATTTTCCCCCTCCTTTCATTCATTCAACAGAAAATTTAGATAAAAAATTAGTTTAGTGACAATAATTGTTTTAAAAAAATTACCTATATTTCACACAGTATTACATGAAAACTATTCATATTTTAGAAAAATTGTAAGTGATCTGATTTCAAGATTTGATTTTAAAGAACAGATTTCATTATGGAAAAGTTGAAGTTTTGCAATTTTTAAACAAGTGCTACAACAGTACATACTTTCTCGCCCGTTAGTAACGGCTATTTAATAATATTATACCGCAATTCCTTTTCGCAATTTTAGAAAAAAACGAGCAATACCCTAAAATGACACTAACGTCATGTTTCTTATTACATATATGGAGAAAATTTAAAGGAAAAAATCTGCAGCGATTTAGTCATCCTAGTCCATTTCCGTACATACAATTCACGTATCCACTCTCCCAAATATTTTAGTCCATTTACGTTTTTGTAGTACTGTCCTCAATCAATACACCACCAACATTGCATCTGTTACATCAAATACACCCCTTAATTACACCAATCTGATTGGAGTCTTCTATTAAACTTTACGTCCTCACTTAAGAACTTATATTTCCTTTCTGTTTGTTGATTTTCGTCCGTCTTCTCAAATCGACAGTGTCCATGACATTAAACATTGCCAACCAGTGATTTTCTATTCCAGTAGGCCGTCACTATTGTATTGTTTTGATGGCATATAGGACGAAATACGAATAACGCCTATTTACAACGCATTACAATATTCATAGTAATATAAAGAACTATACATACATTATTGCAGTATTCGTGAAGACTGCTTTTTTTAAAATATTTAATTTGTTCCCTTGTTACCCCGAAGTATTTCATTGGTTGTGCTTCAGCACTGTCTGCGCTGGTTTCGTAAAACCATTTTGTGGTTTTGTTCAACAGATTGTTTGCAGCTGCAAGCCACTAGCATTTAATGCTTTTCTTCAAGAGTGCGGGATTCTAAATTTCATGGGAGGAAAAATGTATTGGAAGACTGGGAAACGTCAGGGAAATTT